TGTGTGTGTGTGTGTTTGACTGTTTGGGATAGCCCATGTCATGTGAGCCAAGAAGTTTTACTGCGTAGAAGGGTGGGAGATGCGTAGGAAGGGGGGGGCCCGGGGCGACGGTCGAAATTGGACCGGCTGGTTCAGTGGCGGATTGATGTTGATTTTGTGTGTCTGTGTGTCTGTGTGTGTGTGTGTGTTTGTTTTTAATTGTTTGGGACAGCCCATGCAAGCCAAGAAGATTTACTGGCTAGAAGCAGTACCAGTACCTGACTCATTTTAACGGAGCAGCGCTGTGACACAACCCACTCAGTTTCGCTGATTGCCGAAAGGGAGGGGGGGAGCGGGGTGGAGGTTGGGGGAGGGGGGACGAGGGGTGGGCTGGGCCCCCAAGACGCCTGCCGCCTGTTTCCGCGGATTGTTTGGGCTGGCCCATGCGAGCGAAGAGGTTTGACTGGTTTGGAAGCAGTACCAGTATGTGAGGGAGGGGAGGGGGCGTCGAAATTGTGGGCCAAAAACGGGAAGATTAGGTAGAGGGCATCTGGTTAACCCCCAAGACGCCAAAGGCCTGTGGCCTCGGCGGATGAGTGAGTCGTGGAGCGTGACCATTCTCAAGTAGCCAGAATTTCTTGTCGGACGGGGTCCCCCAGAGAGGCATTGTATGCCAGGAATGTCTAAGCAAAGCCCAAGCGTACTCTATCGATAGGTGGCAGCAGCAAGACTGGTAAGTCCGGACCCTCTCGTTGCGATGTGTATTTGGCCTTTGGCGGAAGATTCTGTCTATCGTTTTCTGCAGTCTATTGCTGCATGGGGCAGGGGTCGTGTTTTGCAGCTTGCGCTACCACGGCCATTACTACTACTACTACTACTACTACATTCCTACTACTACTTCTACTACTACTACTACTACTACTACAACTAGCACTACTAGCACTACTAGTGCTACTAGTACTACCAACTAGCACTACTAGCACTACTAGCACTACTAGTACTACTAGTACTACTACTGCTGCTGCTGCTGCTACTACTACTACTACTACTACACTAGAAATTATGCTCCCGGTAAGTTGCTTCTTCATACAATCACCATCATCCGCAGTTTTGGCTATTTTATTTTTGCATGTCAATGTGTATTATTCATCGTCATCGTCATTGGTGTCGTTGTTCTTGCTGTTGTCGCTTGTGACTGTGAATGCCGCCGTTGAGGTCCGTCTGGGCTTTACTCTCGCGGTTGTCGTGTTCGAGACTGTGGCTCTTGCTCTCGTGATGACTCTTGCTGCTGATGGCACTTGCGGTCAGTTGTGGGATGCTCTCTTTCTTCTCGTAGACAGCCAGCCTCGCCAGAAAAGCTGCTTCCAAGCACGGCAGGCCTTGTTCCCATCAGGATCCAGGCTGCAGCACCACACCTCGTTGCTACTTGTAGGAGTGACAGTGCCCAGTATCAATGAAAAGGGGTGGGGCATGGTGGGACCAGGGAACCTGGAGAAGCGTGATTGCCGCATTGCCGCATGCCCCTGGCGGCTTCTGAGAGAAGTGCTGCGCCAGTGTGACCCTCCAGTCGCGAGATGCAGCGGCCGGTCTCCAGATCCCAGTTCCTTCTGCTGCACACACTCCAAGCGTGACACGAAGACCTAGAATAGCTACAATGCACAAGTCGCTCCCTGGCACAGTGACAACTCTCCCTCAAGCCCAGGAGAGGGCCTCACGATCTGATCCTGTCCGACAGAGATCGCGCGCTGAAGGTCCCACTCAGCAGCGACAGAGCACCTGAAAGCCGGGCGTCGGCACGAATCGCAAGGAGACTTACGAGAAGCCAAGGGTCAGGCACAGCTCCTGTGTGGTCCGAAAGGGTGGCCACCTCAAATGAGTCAAGCTGCCAGGAGATATGAATGAACCTTCTCACAGAGCAGATGGCTGAGGCGCCGACAGACTCCTCCGAATCGAAATCCCAGATGCGCACCTCTCCGTCAGCTGCCCCGGAAAGTATCCGCCTGCAATCGGGAACCACTGGGCACCATGAAATCGCAGCTCGCTGTCTTCGGGTCACGACACTAACATTAACCATACAGCGTTGTGCTTTCGCGTCTTTTTGATGTTGTGCTGTTGTGCCTGAGGCACAGCACCCCAGTCATGTCCAGTCAAGCAGGCGAACTTAAACACTGTACACCTTTACCTTCTCGGTGCCAGGTACCTTGGATCCACTTTCTGCACCTGCTCCTGCAAAAAGCTTCGCCATGGTGATCACCAAGGACACGACAGCCACAGACAAAGCCACCCCGTGCAGAACTGCCCGGCTGGCACTCTTCCGGCGCTTGGCCGTCAGTGCCTTCTCATGCGCGACTGCATCGACCAACTCTTCCTCCATAGTCCACATCGAGGAGCACATGCCTTCTTCGTGCGTGGGGGGCTTCTTCCAGGAGGCAGTCTGCACATGCTGCAGCATCTCTTCTTCTGAAGCACCCACCGGCTCGCCCACCTCTTGCTCGAAGATTTCCGGCCTGAGAGGGCTGGTAGTCCCAGACATGTGCGGATACGGGCACTCGCGTGGGTGCAGGTGATGAAGCCACTGCGCAAAGAGGCGTCCATGGAGTGGCACCAAACCCCCGTGGTGCCCTTCGATTTCACGCAGACGCTGCTTCAGGCTTGAAGCCACGCTGCTGTTCACAGCTTTGATGATGGCCTCTGCTGAGGCTTCGTGGCTCTGCAGCTTCTGCTCCAAAGAGTTCAGGTAAGCATCACACTCGTCAATGCAGCAAACAGCATAGTAGCCACTGGATGCAATGCAGTTCGAGGGGCCGAGGACGTAGTTGGGGATCACTAGACGGATTGCATCTGGATCCGTCTCGCCCAAAGCACCAAGCTGCCGGAGGTAGGAGACGCTCTCACTGAACTGCCACTTGCCCCCATGAAGCGCCATTCCGTAGAAGTCGCTCAGGCGAACTCGGCCAGTGTTTGGGTGCTCCTCGCTCTGCAGCAGCTCATGTTTCAGAGCTGAGCACTCGTGACTCTGCCAGCGGCCATACCGCTCGCCAACTGCCGCTGCAACCTCCGACATGTCCCTGAAGGACAGATCCTTCTTGCTAGGCAGGATGTCCTGGCGAGTCTCCTGCAAGAAGGACTGGGTTGCCGGCCAAGTTGGGTACTGCTCGCCAACCTCCCCAAGCTTCTGCAACATGTTGTCAGGCTGCAGGTGTTGCATGTCCGCTCCCAGGACGAAGCTGGCCATGTAGGTTTCCAAGACTTCGGTAGCCTCTGTCATGTTCAATACGCGATCAAGGGGCTTCTCCTGAGCGCTCATGGCAGCTGTCAGGCGGATATCCGCTTCTGCGTGGACCATGTTCTCCAACATTGCGGCAAGCACGGCCAAGTCATGGAGGTCCAATCCATGGTCCGTAAGTCGACTCTCAAACAAGGCATACACATCCTCCGAGACGCGGTTTCCCAAGGCAGTCGCAGGCGAGGAGCTGTCCCATGTTTCACCACGTGGCTCCAAGCCATGGAACTGCCAGCCGTGACGCTGAACGAACAAGCGATGAAGGGCATAGCGCGCAGCTGGTGGTCGCACGGCACCTCTGGAGTTCTTCGGAAGAGCGAGGAAAATGCTTGAGAGCGCATCCTGCAAACTGGCGATGCGAGACTCCGTTGACTCAGTGCTGGTCATGACATCCTTGAGTTCTGTGATGATGGGCTGCTTGGGATGTGGGACCGGTGCGTCTGTGAGAAATTGGGCGCTGCAGCCTCCAAGGGCCAGCAGGAGAACTGCACAATGTGCAGAGAAGGCGGAAGACTTAGCCATAAGTACGAATGGAAGTGTCTAAAGGCAGACTTTCTTTGTGCGCGGTGTGAGGTGGCACCACGGAGGCAGCTGGAGCCAGGCACAGCAGCATATGAAACATTCTCACTCAGGACTTTCCGAAGCATGAAAGCGCGGCTCGCAGGAATGTGGCCTCATGCACAGGTGCATCAAGAACAAACGGCACTGGCGCACCTGCCATCCCAGTCCGCGTCGACGGACGTAACCCAATCTTTGTGGCCTGCATTCGGGGATATGCTACGAAGGAGTCGACCTCAGTTCTTGCACCATGAAGACGAGGGGTGATATTGGTAATGATGATGGAGATGGCGATGGGGACCAGTACATGAATCTGCTGGACTTGAGGTCATGCTCATGACGACAACAAAATGGCCGGAAAGCAAGACATATAGCAGTAGAGGCCGTTAGAGAAAGCCATCGCAGAAGCATGATCGTTGGCATTACTTCTGGGCACTTGCCATGCACCCACTCCCCAGATGTGGGCCTCGAAAGAAGCTCTGAAGCGCCTTGTCTTCCGGCACCTCTTCGTTCACGTCCCACAGGGCCTCGCTTGCAACGAACCTTAACTAAGCCCTCAACAAAAAGCGCTGTTGAACTCAGCTCAGGGCCAGAGTGTGATCGCCAGAGCCAGTTACCTTGCATTGCATCTGGGACCAAAAGCGCTAGCCTCTCGTGCCATCTGAGCTGGAGTACCATCGACTCGTTGTCGTAAAGATGGCATCAAACTCTATCATAACTATTCGACACATGCCTCAATCATGCTGTACTCTCAAGCAACTACCGGCAAACTCGCCAGTGCAGCAGCCATGTCAGTGTCCCAGTCCACGTCGAGGCAAAGAATAGCGGCCTCGCAAAGATGACATCAAACCCGGCACTCTTCGCGCTTGCGCAAGCTTAGTGTTCTCTGTTCGAACGGGTTAGTTTCCATCAAACACATGTCGATGAGGCCAGATTTTGCAAAGCCGGTGTTGCCCGGGCCCGTCTCAACATCAAATGCTGATGCACATACTGAAAGAAATCACCTTCAGAAGTCTATCAGTCTATCAGGCCTGCCCCAGAGGTTCCGTTGCCCCTTACTAGAACATGCTTGGCTTTGAGGTTTCACATGTCCGGGTGGGCAAAGATGCTGATTCTCTCCCGATGCCTTGTGGCGCCACCAGCAGCGCTGTTCGTCACCTGTAGCCGCTGCATCTATGCGAATAATCTTTGCACCTCTTGCAAATATCTACCTATCTATATCTATATCTATATCTATATCTATATCTATATATATGTATATATATATATATGTATATTTATCTCTGTATATCTCTATATATATCTCTACATATCTCTACATCTCCCTCTCTCTCTCTACATATATATATATGTATATATATATATGCACACACACACATATATATATATAATATGCAGATATGAATGATAAACAGATATGTATATGTATCTGTATGATTCTGTATGCATATGTGTATGTGTATGTGCAGGTGTATGTGTATGCACATGTATGTATACGTATGCATATGTGTGTGTGTGTGCACGTATGTATGTATACATGTACATGCGGTTGTGCATACGTATGTGTGATGTGTGTGTACATGCATGCATGCATGTATCTGTGCATCTATCTATATATGTATGTAAGTATGTAAGCTGGTTTGTTTGTTTGTTTGTTTGTGATTCCATTACCGAACGTAGGGGTTTAGGGTCAAGGATGTTCAATGCGAACTGATTCGCTGGAAGATTCAGATGCTCCGGCCTGTCTTCACATCCCATTGCCGCATCGTCTGGTCCGTTGAAACGGTGAGCATGCGAGGATTGCTCCCCGGAAACAGCGAGCGCCTCACCAAGCAATCGACATATCCACGTTGCACGCTTCCACGAGACACGCTTCAGGGGGCAGTCGCAACATGAATGCATGTTGCTGACATTCATTCATCACGCAGGCCTGTCTCCCTCCAGGAGAAGGAGGATATCATTCTCACCACTCGATGCCATTGTTCCTGCTGAATCCGTTTACGACGTGGATGCTTGCGCCTGCAGCTTCCTAGTTCTCACTCTGGCTCTCCCTAAATGTGTTCACTTGGGCCTACCATCAGCACTGTAGTTCTTATGTGAAAGGCAATCATCCAGCGTCAACCATAAGATGCACCGCGTGCCTTGGACTGCGATGCAATGCGCCCGGTTACCGGTATTCCCGGTCAGATTGCACCATTCCAGCTGCGAAGACCCCCATCACTATCAGTCGAAGCGGTGCCTAGCATAAGACACTGTCATTCTAGAGTCACTTAAGGGCAATAGCCCCGGGCTGTGATACTTGAAGTAACTATTAAGGTGCCAAGGCTAAGGATAGCCGCATCGCCTTTTCTAGGTTCTGACATGTCTTTGAGGCTCGGGAGAAGAGGAGCTTGTGACAGAAGAGCTGCAGAGAGGGAGCTCTCCTTTTTGCCAAAAGCTTCCTAAACCCCGTTTAGGGTTTAGGGTTGAGGATGGTTTAGGGTTTAGGACTAAACCCCCTTCTGTGGTCTTGTTTTCAAGGGTTTTGCTGTGTTCTCGGTGCGATCTGTCCGAGTTCTGCTCAAGAGCTACAGTACGAAGCCGCCACTTGGCTTGGGCAAACAGCCTTCGGATGCAAACATCACTGAAGGCTTGCTGCCTGGGAACCAAAACACCAGGTGAAGCTTGAACCATGGCTGCCATAGCCACAGAGCTGAAACCTATTTCAAGCTTAGGTGCTTGCTTGGTCTGCTACCTGGACCAGTCAGCTTGGCCCTGACGGCCGGCAGGTCAAGCCGTTCCGTCTTAAGAGCAAGTCGTACCATGGTCTTGGGGTCTGCAAAAGCCTCAGAGAGGATTAGGTATGCATGCGTAGCTGTACTTCGGTGGTCCTACACCCCTGACTGACGCCCCCAAAGGCCCTAAATCCCATAGCCCATACCAAGCTACCCTATGACGGGCATGAGAAGCACTCGGACAGTTTTGAGCTCCATGTCCACTGCCAAGGAGTGCCCGGCCTCGGCCAATGGTGACTGGCCCTCTACTGGGTCAACAGAGGGTTTTGGGATTTGAGGGTTTACGGCTTCAAGATGAGCTATCCTGTTTTGAGGTTTTGGGGTTGGGGGCTTGTATGTCTCTTGGTTCTCGAAGGTACTTCTTCCGGCTACCTGATGCGTTTGGAAAGTCCAGGCAGGCTTGCTGAAGGCCTTCACGACCGACCATGCGCATCGGCACCGAATTTGGATCCCAAAGGCTCGGGGCTCAGGCAGCCTATGCCACTTAACCGACCATCTCAAGATTGAAAATAGGGAGCTAGGACTCCTGCAGGGGAAGCTCTGGGTCACTCGTCCTCTTTTGCGGCCTCTTCAGCCTCAGCAGCTGCCAGCGCTGCCTGTGCCAACATCAAAGAATTTCCAATGCGTCAAACGACGCGCCACACTTTGGCGACGCCAAGCGAAAGGCTCATTCACGGACGCGTCTTGAAAGTGTCCCGGACTCGCTTAACTCTGTATTCTCCCCCTCCCAAGAATCTTCAGCCTGCGTTTCCTCCAGAAGAGGTGTGAGCGTGTCGGCTGCACCACTCGGGTAGTGGATGAAGACAGGCAGAGCCTGGTCTCAAACTGGATTTCTCCAGGGCTCAACGCAGCATCAGGCGCAGCACGCGGCGCCTGTCGCAGCTTCTCGAGGCTGCTATTGCAAGCCTGTGGAACAAGCGAGATGACGCAACCAGCACTGGGCACGCAGAACCGATTCTTCGAGCTAAACGGGTGGCTGACGGCCTTGCCTCTGCATCGACGCCACCCACGCAGTCAGCCTTGCGGCATCGAGCGAGCCGACAAAGCTGTGTTTGCAACGGGACGGGCGGGCAGCATCTTCATTACCACAGCAAAGGACACCGTCAAACCTCCCTCGTAAAGGAGCTTCAACATCCATTCAGCCAAAAGGAAGCCCTGCTTTGATCAAGGACTCACAGCTGCAAAAAAGCAAACGGGGCCGGAACTGCAAGTGTGTCGATGGCACCTGGAACATCTATGCAGCAAAGAAGCGCAGATCTTGAAACTGGTCGAATCAAGAATCTGTTCGCTCTGCGCATGTCAGTAACACCACTTCAGCCCTTGCTCATGTTGCAATGTCCAGGTGGACGAACAATCATAATATGCTCATGCTGCGTGCTTTCAATCGTGCTCGGGCATACCTGGCACCTGCGTCGCTTGCTCAGCAATGACCTGCAAAAAGTTCGGATGTAAATGTAATCAGCAACTGTGTTACTTCGCCACTAGCACGTCCGATACTTGTTGGAAACCGCATCACTGCATATGACAGGGGCCATGTTACCAGTTCGATGATGTGTATCTCAAAGGCGGCTCTGACACCTCCAATGTGGCCAAGTCGAGGCTTATCTGCGACTCGCTGCCAGCAACGCAAGAGGTGGATGCCTTGCCAAGGCTCGTCATTCTCTCCCGAACTGCTCCGTGATACATGCTACATCCGTGCTGTGGAAACTTCAATGCAACAACAGAAGTTACCGTTGTCACAGCTGGCCCTCACCGGTTTTCCAAAGGCCTCTTTGAGGACCTCCTCAATCTGCGTCGACATCTTGAGCGCACTTTCCAAGATTCGCCTGGCGCAGGTCGCCCCCGCCCTCTTGCCCACAATAAAAATAATAATAATAGTAGTAATAATATTAGTAATAGTAATAATCATAATAGTAATAATAATAACAATAATATTAATAATAATAATAGTAAGAATAATAATCCGCAATGTCGTAGCTCGTGGAGCGTGTACGGATGTTTGCAGCAACGATCACCAATCCCTGGCCGTCCCGCCCCCCCCCCCCCATTGATTTGCCGGCCAGCTTAAATCTGGCCCAAGCAGTCTGGATCTGAATTTTTAATGCTTTCTTTCTTAACTCGGCCGCTTGTGCACAGAAGGCCGCACAAAATGTCCGTCTAATGAGACTCAACACACTTTGGCCCATGTTGCTCATCTCCGCATTGTCAGTGTCCCTGGAGCCTTCCGTGCAGCGAGTCTGATGCACACTCGAGAGGCAAAGCCCCTCTCTGCTTATTCACGCAAGCTTCAACAAAAAACATGCAACGTCTCACCTTCTTTGTCAACTTTGATTTTCGATTTGAACTAGACGGACACCTGCATCACCTGCATGCTATCGATGGGTGGAGATGTTTTTTGTTGGCCTTTTTCTTAGTGGTGGGGGGTTCACTGTATTTCCATATCTATGTTTTCACCGGAAACCCTCAGTTTTTTGTGTATATTTTAATTGCAAACGCTTCTATTTTCGGTGCCGGGGTCACTTACTGTAACCACCAAAACCCGGGTGTCACTTAGCCGCTCCGAGTCCACACCGGTTTGGGTCACTTAGCAACCAGATGTCGGGGTCACTTGGCCACCGGGTTCAACTTTAGGGCTCGGCCTGTAAACTTCAAACCTCCTCGGATTCATCCTATATCTTAAACACACCAGCTCATTTGGCGATTCCGGCTCCGTCCACCCGCAACTCACCAAAGATGACACCTAAGCGCACAAGTAGGATCACCGTGGCCCAAACTTGAAGTGCGCAAAGTGTGGCCTGAAATTGCTGCACACAAAATAACCCCGCCAACAACTTGAGGAAAGGAGCAAGACTCCTTGCGCAGCCCACAGCGAATCAAGCTTTGAAGGGGTTCACAGTACGCACCAGCTCGCGCTTGGCAGCCCCCCCCATTTGCAAACAGAATGCTCGCATGATAGGATCCAAACACAATCACATGCTTTGAAGCAAGCTTGCACTGCTTAAAGAAGCTGGGAGGGGTTTGGGGGGGCGCAGCCCCCCCAAGTTGCAAACACAATGCTCGCATGATGGGTTTCAAACAGACTGCTTTGAAGCAAGCTTGCACGGCACAAAAAAACGCGGATTGGGGGCGGCTTCCCCCCGTTTGAAAACAGAATGCCCGCATGATCGGATTCAGAAACACTCACATGCGTTGAAGCAAGCTTGCAGGGCTCAAAAAGCAGGGGGTTTGGGGTCGCAGCCCCTGCCAGTTGCAAACGCACTGCTTGCATGAGGGGTGTCTAAAAGACTCATATGCGTGGAAGCAAGCTTGCACGCCTTGCCCTCCCAACTCTGTTTCATTTATTTCGTTCTTTCTTTCTTTCTTTTATTATTTCATGTGGCTCTTTCGTTTTCTTTCTGTCTTTCTCTCCTTTTTAGTCAGTTCTTCTTTTGATTATTTCAGTTGTTCCTTTCTTTCCTTCTTTTTTTCGTTCTGTCTTTCTTTCGTTCTGTCCCTACCTTCTTCCCTTCAGTTCCCATGAAAATACAAATGGCATATACTTTTATAATTGGAGGAACATCGAGGTTTCTGCTTTTTGGAATATGGACAAAACAGAGGTTTCCTGGTGAAAGAATAGCGCGAAATAGAGGTTTTCCTACGGAAATATAGAGACCCCCCCCCCACCAACAAAAAAAAGGCCAAAGAACATATTAAAACGCGGGCAACAAAAAGTGGTTACCCCCCCCCATCGACACCCGTCAATACCAAGCTATATAATTAGACTCAATTTCAGTCTGAACTCCAAACCCGTGCGAGAAGCCCGGAAGTCCTTTACCCCCAAACCCCAAATCCCAGCTGAGGGGTACAGTATCTGACTGAAGGTTCCCCCACAAATGCTACTTGTATCAACATCGCAGCTTACCAACAAGGTCTTTCGAAGTGAAATTCTTTTCGAACACCCCCCCCCCCAAAAAAAAAAGCACACACACACACACACATTGAAGCCTTCACCAGGAACCCCAAGCTGTTGATCGCTGAACTCTGAGCGATCAACCCTCAACTTACCGGTTCCCCACCTCTCGGAAGGCAGCATGGTTTCTTGAAATGCGCTGCACAAATCATCTTCATCTTCAAGAAGCTCCTGCAGTCCAAGGTTCGGGGAGGATTTAAGGTGCAAGGCAGATTCGGTGCTCACGCTCGGACAACCCAGGCGAGGAATTTGGTCATGAGTCGGTTGTTTGAAGCTAACTAGAAAGATCTCCGCCGGGAAAGAACTACTGCAAACCCTTCGGCCATGTACATTTTTCTTCTTTCTTGCCGTTCTGACAGTTGCGACGGAGAAGCACTGGGCGGCTTGAAACCATGGAGCATCTGCTGCCACAGCACGGCAGGTACCGGTTCAGCAAGAACTAGGCAAACCCCACTGTACATGCCCTACTTGCTCCTTAAGGCTCTAGTCCTTATCTACACTCCATCACTGGGACAATGACCATGAATCATTAAACTTGGGCCACAGCGTGGCAGGGACTTTAGGCCCTCCCTGCAACTTGGGTCTGGTCCTCCAAATCTGCCTCCGTCTGCTCAACTTTTCTGAGCAACGGAAGCTTGAAGATGTTGTTTTGAGCGAAGTGGTCGGTGACCACGTCCAAGATCTCGTCCACCCTCCTCTTCTTGGCTCTCGAAGGCTCAGCACCTTGGCCTGGGCGTGACTGCGAAACCCATCGGCAGCAAGACCAAGTGGTGTGAAACATTGTAGATTGCGGGGAGATTCTGTCCTCACAGCATGCACTTCCTCCCCTTTTTTGAAGGCCTGTTGGATGATCTTCCGGTTGGAAGGTGCCTTACTCAAACCCCGTGTTGCACTAGCATTGAGCAGAGCATGCGCAGCCCCACGATGCTAGGCCAACTCTGTGTCGAGGTCATTCTTATGCTCCTCCAAAGCGGCCTTCAGCGTGGAGTAGGCCCTGAGTACATCTGCAACATCACCTCTTTGACAGGAGGTCGCAAAGTCGACCCTGTCACGGTCCGGCATCAACCGTTGAAACATGACCAGAGCCCCTTGCTGAGTCAACGGGAGATTCTTGTTGTTGTTGTGCTTGACACTGGGGTGTCCATCCCGCGTAAGCAGCAGCTCCCAGATTTAGTGGGTGCCTGCCTGGATTCCAGGCTCCGTCTGGATGGTTCGCAGGATGTGCCTGAGCCACTTCTGCACTTGCTTCCTTGCGCGATACTGGTAGTGGTGACATTTCGCCAACACCAAAGCCAACAGGCTACAGCAAGCTCCGGTCACCGTTTTTCAAGTCAAAGCTCTCAGCGCACCACTTGATGCACAAGAAGATCGCACGCGACGCGTTTGAAAATCGATCGCGGACATTCGCCTTGGTTTGCGACACGATCACCTTCTGCCCCTCTCGGACCCGGGTCTGGAGGCATGCCCGGTGCTGCCGCCGCCATGGCCTGAAGACTTGGCCTAGGCAAACGTAGATCCACTTCTGCAAATCCTTGAGTCTGCAGAGCCAAAATGCCTTGGACTGTTTAGATGTTTAGAATTTGGATGAACTTGGGGCTTCGAGGTTCAGAGGAGGCATCGGCTTCGAAAGGTCACGATTCGTGCACCTCGTCGCCGCTGAGAACTTCCACGGTGCCGAGACCCTTCTTGTCTGCGTTTTCAATCTCCTGCAGGAAAGGCCGTTGCAGCGGCATGGGTAAGAGTTGTCTCGGATGTTTACGACCTGCAGCTGTTTGGCATCCCACCAGTGTCCTGCTGCATCTCACGGTTTGCATCACGGAGCATCGCCAAATTCTTCAGCAATCGCCTGGCATCTCAAGCGCCCTTGGTTGAAAAACTTGAATGAAAGACGACTCCAGTCCACAAAGGGTCCTTCTGATGGCCGCTCGGTTCTGCGTGGAGACGCGCTCGAAATTGCCAGCCGCTTGCAGCGCCTGCCGGAAGCACCCAGAAGGGTGCGAATCTGACTTTAAGTTAACTAGCTGTATACTAACTATAGTTATAACTACAAGTATCATGCACAATATAATGACTATAAGAACTGTTTGCAGGATAACTATACTGTCACATGAAGGTACAGGTCCAGTCTCAATCTGGATGCAGATGCATTGATGAGTGCGCTAGGTGCCTTTGCCGCACAAGATGCCAGGCCAGGGGTCAAAACAGCGTTGCCCAGTGCCTGCAAAAGAAGGAGATGGACATCTGTGCATGTGGCAAGCCACCCTAAACCCTAAACCCTAACCTCTAAACCCTAAACCGAAAACTCTAAACCCTAAACCCTAAACTCTAAACCCTATAAACCCTATAAACCCTAAACCCTAACCTCTAAACCGTCTGGACGGCTTTGGCCTCCAAAGAATCTGCCAGGCCGCTCCCGGCGTCCTCGCAGTTTTTGGCAAGTCACGATCTGGATGCGAAGCCCCGAGGGTTTAGGGCTTTAGGGTTTTAGGGGTTTAGGGGTCTAGAGGTTTAGGGTTTAGGGGTTTAGGGGTTTAGGGGCACTGTGCTGCATGAAAGAACTTTCCATCAAGATGAGCTCATGCCGAATCCATGCGCTCAAGTCTCGACCGAAAACTCCTTGAGTTCTGCTGCCAAGCATGCACCTCCGAACATCGCCAGAACAAGCGTAAGCGTAAATGCGGTCTGAACGCGTCTCCGACAGTGTGTTCTGTAGATGAGTTTACACAGGCGACTTGAGCATTTGTGTGGTCCAGGTTGTCTATAATGGGGACTCCTTGGCTGTCTCTGTTTATAAGAATTACTCCGCAGATTCTTCGAGCTGGCCCAAGGCGCAAGCAGGTCAGGGGCCTGCTCCACCAGACAGAGACATCAAGGTTCCAGCAGCGGCGGTGTAGGCTTTAACCACCTTGTGAGTCAAAGGAAAACTGCCGAACACATTCGACCAGAATAAGGTACACCATGTATTATATTTCTTATTTGTGACATAATGTTCGATTTCAAGAGTGCCATGAGTTCTTTGACCCCAGCAGAGGCAACGCTTTTTTTTTGACTGGTTCCACCTGGCCCTAGCCGACGTTGAGAAACCATAGAGAAATCCCATCTCAATACCCACCTCCTGCGCAATCGGGGTGAGTCCTTTCTTCGCCTCCTGCAGCGCAATTCCCAAACTCAACACACCGGCACGGGCTTGCACGCATGCTGGTGCGGAGCCGCTGATTGACCTGTGGATCTCAGGCCCCTCCCTCTGCAAACAAAGCAGTGCAGCTCAGCAGGCACTCTGTCTTATTAGCTAGAACCACATGGGCGAAATCAAAGAACAATTGAGCACATGGAACACGAGGGCGTCACTGGCGAAGCAGCCAAACCCCATGCGGCATGGCATGTAACATACAAACACGTTTGAGAACAAATGCGTCCTCTGCATCCGCCACAGCTGTTGCCGACGCTCCAAATTTCGTCAGCGTGTGTTGTAGGTATTTGGAAACCTCCCGGTGCCGCAAACTGTATTGCAGTGCCGCTGCAGTCTCTCACGCTTCGCCGTTCCTTTCAATTGCAACGGCGTCTGTGCGACGTTTTCATGCTTAACTCATGCCGACCTGCCTTCTTCAACTCGTCCACAGGCAGCAACGTGCCTTCTTTCGGCTCGTCAGCTGCCTGCACGGAGTCTGATGGATCTGCCGGAGTTGCAGCTGCTGCTTAACCCTCCTGAATCCCGAGCTCTAGAAACAAGAGACCCCAGGCCTTGATCTGTGCTGAGACATCTGTCCAAACCTTGCCAGGCAACACCATCAAGAGCAAACCACACGGCACGTCTACCAGTTTGCTACGACGTGCTCTCTAACTACATGTTCTACCAGCATATTAATATATGTTACCATTGCAACAAATCGCTATGAAAGCTGGATGGTGTGTGCTTGCCCAAACCAGGCTTGGGTCAGCACCCGTTTTGCCGCAGCCAGCAGGTTTTCTGTTGCCATGTCCGGCTGGGTCTCCGCAAGGCTCGGTCTGGGACTCTCACGAACAACTAGAGACCCTAGAACAGCAGGCTCCTCAATTGTAGGATCCCCCGGCAACCGCAAATCACCTATAGTTATAGTGACTAGTACAAGTACCGAGCCCCCCGAGCTTTGGATAAGGTCACAGCATGGGCACTTCGCTTTTGAGCCACGAAATGTAGCAGTAACCATCAGGATAGCCCCGGTTGCAACCATAAAAGGAATTCCTCGTGGCTCGCTGGTGCGGAACAGTTCTGAAGCGGGCAAGCCCTGCATCTTCATGATCGGATCCTTAACGCGCTTGAGCCCGAACAGCATACGGAGCGACCGAAGTGGTCCTCTGAAATCATGGCAGCATGCCAGTGCCGATGGATGGATTTTCGAGCTGACCGTACCTCATGCAAAACACTCAGCACGGGAGGGCGACCTTCAAAAGCTGTCGTCGGCAAACTGTGCAGAACTTCATGCCTGCCGCGCAGGCATTGTCCAAAAAAGGGCTCGACAAACAGGGGCGCACTTCTGCAACACAACAGCATATTTTGGAACCAGGGTTGGAGGCATGTCATACTACGATCATACTACAATCATCAGGAATCCTCGTTTTCGACTCATTCAGGCCCCTCAAGCATTACACGACTCCAGGCCATGTGGCTGCCTGCTCGCGAACGCTGGGATGCGAAGGCCTTCAGCAAAACCTGCCAGATTCTGAGGTAGCAAACCTGGAATCAATGGACCTGCATGTTGCCCTAACATAGAGAGCGTGACCCCAACGGCACAGCTTGCTGCCTGCCGAACCAAACCGCGACGAAGGGCAGGCCTCTTCCAGGTGATTCAGAGCTCAGACTGTCAAGTGATCGCACATAGGTCATGCCGGCTACGCGTCTCTGCCGTCAATTGATGGCGAGAAATGAATGTCTACGATGTCTCTCCCTCCCTCAGCCCTGGGAGCATAGGCCCTCCAAGCAGAGCTCATCGCAACTGCCCTGAACCCTTAACCCTGAACGGCCCTAAACCCTTAACCCTAAACGGCCCTACACCCTAAACCCTAAATGGCCCTAAACCCTGAAGCCCTCAGCCTCTGAACCTGGCAGCTCTCGAAGGACTCCGACTCGGCCGCCTCGCATTCGAAAAAAGACACAGCCATGCAAAGAAGTACATGGGTTTAGGGGCCTTAAGGGTTTAGGGCTTAGGGGTTTAGGGTTCAGGGCATTACTACATATATACTATCATGGGTCTAATATAGGGGCCTTAACAATTAGAATGGGGTTTGGGGTCTATTATACCATAATTCTATAATTATAATAAGGAGCCCCCAAAACCCTATTCTAATTATTAAGGCCACTATATTACATACACATGATCATGCATGTGCATGTCCAATGTACTCATTCATGACTACGTTTGCGTATATCTCGCTGCGTGATTGCTATACTCCATTACGGTATGCGTTCGTCTTCCACATTGAGCTTCAGAAACTGAGGGACCTGTAGGTATATAGAACCCGAAATACTAGGGTCCTTATCATTATCAAAAGGATATGTACGGATTGTGGATCCTAAGCCGCCATAATCCAGGGCTGTCCATGCTGCAAGTGAGGCCTCGGAGGTAGCCAACACTGCAGTGCTAAGGCAAAGCAGCACGCAGTACCTGGCAGAACACATGAATCTTCACATCACTGTTAGTATTGGAATTAGTATCCATACTGAGACACATATCTATGGTCCTTTCTGTTCAGATTCCTCGCGAAGCTTTTTCAGCACCAGAAACTGTCAACTTGACCTACCCTTCAGTCATCCCTCTCCGTTTGTGACAGTGAAGCAAGGGCACATGCAGCACATGATCGGCAAACCAGTCCAGCTGATGATTACCGCAAGCTCCACATAGTCCTGGGAGCTCAGAAGCTTTCCAAACCAATTCTGAGGGCTGCGGACATCCATGAAACTCCTGTCTGCAACGACCTAGCGGCCCTAGCGTTTCCCACCGGTTTTGCAAATGCCCCGCTCTGAGCGAACCTTCAGGTCCCTGGAGCAATCCTGGAGAGCATAGGTCGTGGTCGACATCGGGGGGGGGGGTTTCGGGTTTCGGGTTTAGGTTTTGCAGTCAACATTGTCATTGCGGCTATCTTGGAGGGCTGGGCATACTGTTCCTTTGAAGGTGGTGATGGCGTGGCGGTATCGCCGAATCGGAAACAAGCAACCGCAAGCACGGGCTCAAGACTTGTCTGCGCAACTCATCGAAGCGCTTATCAAACCACACACCGCTCTGCCTCAGCCTGCCAGTTCCAATACGTGCCCAAAATCGCCCACCTGGAGGTGCTCAGGAGATGTCAAGGTGCATATTAGCATCAGGCAAGATCTAGGGAATCCAGATACAGCACTGTGCGATGACATGCGATGACCAAACCTCTTGTATTGCGCATGCTAAAGCTGCGGCATCCCGAAGTGAACTGAAACTCTCCATGGCCCCAAATCCGCCGGCATCGCTAATTGACTCACTGCACTACGAGTCATACATATATATATATATGCACATATATGTACCTTAAGTAGGTGTGGGATTACATATATCTGTATATATGTATATAGGTATAAGTGTGTGTGTATATATATATATGCACACCTACACACCATATTTTCCATAGTGTAATTATATCATATGGACGTGAGAGTCTGGTTCATCCTGGGGTGCCGGCGCAAGGCCACAGCTGAAGAGAAAACAGTGCAGCATTGCCTCCTGCAGCAAAGAGTCGGTACATATGTATGGTGTAGCAAGACTAGTATAGTGTATGTCCCCAAACTTTACAGCCACTACAACTTCACCATGTCTCCAGCTGATACACCCTGACGGAACCAGCCTTGCACAGTCCACTTTCAGCCCGTGGATTGCCTGCGGTGGTTAGCAGCCATGAAAGACAACGTAGTATTGCCCGTAGACAGCGGATCCTAGCAAAACGGTGCTGCCGTCTTTGTTTTGTCATTTGGATGGGCATGTGACCTTTGCGACTGTCAAGGCTGACGGATCACCAATCTTCCCCAAAACTCTTCAACTGCCAGTATGGACATGATCCTCGGAACTGGAGCCTGAGAACTGGTGCAAGCACATCACCAGAAGGACGACAATGGGAATCGCCATGAATCCATACAGCCACCTGACAACACTTCGGGAGAATGTCCAGCATCCGTTGAATTCGAACGCACGCAAGTGACGTCGCAGACCTGCCGAGGCTGTCACTGTACGAGAGGCTGGTCGCAATCCGCAGCCAAAAGCCAGGAGAAAGCGACACCTTTCGGTGTAACATTGTCTTTCAGCTGATGCACATCTCCGCACTTGCAACCAGCCTGTGACCACCGCTGGGCACAACAGGACCTCGTTAGATCTGGATCCAGGATGGTACAACAGGTTATGAGTTGCATGGAGATGCTTCGACTTCTGATTCTTGAGGCGAGCGCCAATAGCCCGAAGACTGCCACGAATAGAAACCTGCGTCTTTCCCATGCCAAGCATTCTCGAAGAAAAGCAAGTCAATAACCCCATCGCAAGGTGCATGTACAGACTGCCTGTCCAGGAGCACAAGCCCAGCCTTTAGACAAAACTCGCATCAATTTCACTAAGTCTGAGAGCAGCCACGTGCATCCCAGCAAGAAGGCTGGCAAGTTCATATAGAGACCTTACCACTGCGCATTTCGCGTACACAAGATCGATGCAACACAATCAGATAGATAGACAGATGGATAGATAGATAGGTCCGTAGGTAGGCAGGTAGGTAGGTAGGTGGGTAGATAGGTAGGTAGGCAAGTTGGTAGGTAGATGTATCGAGAGAAAAGATATGCTCCATTACGGCAAACTAAACTGCAGTATGTACCAACTACCAAGATTTCGCGCTGTATGATTTTTTTCAGTGTGTTGTACGATCGCTACTGCACATATGGTAGATAATTATTGCCTGAAGTAGGTGCGTGACTGTGACAAGCAAAAACTGGGGCAGTGGCTGGCGAAATTCAAACTCTCGGTGCGAGCCGCTGCGGCATCACGAGCTACGCAATGCGCTGGTTCTGTTATTTGCAGTTTGCCGAACAGAGGTGCCCTTTTGTCAAGCTCTTAGATGCAAATACATGTCCGTTTTAGCTGCTCTTGACCATGCGTCATCGTGCTCCGTTTCTTTTCTTAGTCGTGGTCACGAAGCATTCGCAAGATGTTGGATTTTCATGATGCCCCACACTATAGAGACTCCTCTCATCGTCCGCTGACCAAAGGTTGGATGCATTTTGCGTCCGTCCCGCACCCCCCCCCGTTGCAAACAACAAGTCTGATCTCCTTTAAGCTGCGTTGCAAACTGCTGCGCTTTTGCGGCTTCTTGTAGTAGGCAAGAACTGCGACTGCAAAAGCAAGATGCTGGATAATGAACAGTTCAGATGCCACCAAGCGCACAAGGGCACACAAGCAGTCAAGGCTTTTTCGCAAGGAACTTATTTGTAGGTCCCTCCACAATATCCTTGGCTGATTGCGGTTCGCTGCAAACCTGCCTGAGCTGGAATCTGCGACTTTATGCTTGTCCAAGCTGCGGATCAATTCTTTGCAGGTCTTGACCATCCCAGAGGTGTCTATCGAGGACTCGGTCTCCAAAAGCGACACTGCCGCAAACAGAAGCGACTTGCCTGCCTCGGTAGCTGTGCGTGGTTCACGATACATGGCATCATGTGGCTATCACACTGCCGCTTCTTGCACATCCCAACCTCGCAGTCCTCACCAAGCACAAAGAGTTCCCCTGCAAGCTTGTAGTATGCACCGGCATTGCCATCCTGCTTCATGTCGTAGACACGCTTCAAGACCTTGAAAACGGCTAACAGTTCATTGCGCACAAACCTGGTCGCCGGCCGCCCAAGGACATGCTGTGCAACCTGCGAGGCACCTGTGCAATCGTCGGAAAATAAGGGCGGAAGCTTTGTCTGTCCAGCTCACCCTTCCCCAGGTGAGCATCTGTGAGCTGCTGGTGGATGATGACCTCGGACATAGCTGAGCTGTTGAAAGTGGGCACCCTAAACATCTGAAAACTCTGCTCCGGTCTTGGAGGGGTGTTCCATTCGATCGCCGATAAGATCATTCCGGAGAAGGCTATCTTCTTGACATCTGCGAGTGTGAAATGGCACTGCTGCCTGGGCCTGACAGCTCTAGGTCACCTCTACGATCCTCAATGGATGTGGCTGAATGTGCAACTTCCCTGAAGCTTGCAAGGACGAGTCCGAACGCTCTAATGCAGTATCTGTCGTCAGAGCACGACTTCGGTGAGGTCGAAGGCATCCTTGATTGCCTGCATACAGGAACGCGGCCCTGCGTGCGTTGATTATCAGCAAAGGACACCACCGACTCTGCGCGTTGCAAACAAAATCTCAGTGAGAGGCTAGAGTCCGCACCAGTACGAGGCTTTAGGGTCGGCTTTGTTTCAGGTTCCGTGCGGCAGCGTTTCCAGATTCGCGTTCCCTCCCACGGAGTTACCTTTCTCAAAGGAGGTCTGAAGCAGAAACCCCAACCCCAAAGCCTAAGCCCTAAACCCTAGGCCCTAAACCCCCAAAGTCTAAGTCCTAAACCGGGAGTCTGCTAAACTCCAGAAGAGGGCCGCTTTTCCCCCAGGACTTGCCTCCAACTTGTATGCTTGGTGCAGGGCAGCTCTGGCTTCGGTCCAGCGTTCCTGCAAAGAGTTGAATGAACATGAATATCTACATATATATATATATATGAATATATATATACACACATACACACATCATATACAGCTACATGTAATATAATACAATATAATATAATTTAAGATAAGGTAAGATAACATAGTACAATATTATATCATATCATATTATCTTATATTGTATTATATTATATTATCTTGCATTATAATAAATTGTATTCTATGCTATTCTGTTCAATTCTATTCTGCTACACTTATACGTGTATGTACATATACATAGTATATATAGTATGTATATACATATACACAGTATATGGTAATAGCTGGCTCTGTCCGACTGAGCCCCGATGGCTGCGACTCGGTCCTTCTGGAGTACAGGTATGTCAGTTGGTAGTTGGGATATCGCGCATCTTCGCAGATGTATGGAATGAAAAATGAAAGCTAGCAATTACCGGCAAGGGTCAGATGTCAGGGACTGATCCCTAACACTGAGCTGCTTCATGCAAGCTTTGCTGCTGAATGTTTGAAGATGGTGGCTAGGCAATATAATTGTACAGCAAGAAATCGTACGATGTTCGAGTGGCAGGAAGCTCGTAGGCTGCTAGTCAGTCACATTGGCTTTACATGCCGAGAAAAGACTACGACGCAGGACGTCGAACGGTGGTGGTCTGGCCCCGTCCTGTGCAATCCGTATCTCACCCATGCGCTTGAAGGCCGTGGCAAGCAACGGGGAATCCTCACCCGAGGTGGACTCGAAGAGGCGGATAGCCTCCTCAGGGCCAGCAAAGGGGCTAGTGGCCCTTTTTAGCGCCTCTTGCTGCAGGTGCAGAAGGCAATTCTAGCAGGCACCGATTTTGAAAGTAAATGCACCGCCGGTCCTGGCACTTCGCCTCTGCCTCCTCCGTATCGCCGAGCTTCAGAGCCATCTTACCTGGCAGCCGAAGCTTTCAGTTTCGGCTTTCGAGACCCTTCTCAACAGGTTGGAGTACGCAAGGGCGCCTCTAGCCTTTTCGGAGCTAACTTAGGCTAAGCTTATAATATCAGTTAATATACTATGCTATACTATACTATTTAGTTTAAATTCATCTAAACTACAGAGAGCGAGACACACACACATATATATATATAACAATACATATAGCCGAGGCAAGCTGCTCACGGTCATTCCGGCTTTGGCGGTGAGGGATGACTCCCAGCCATTCTCCATGTCCCGCTGCTTGTAGAGGTCGTAAGCCTGACCAATGCACAGGACCAGCACAACTCGCAGTCCTAGGAGCCTGACGGATCAGAAATAACTCCCTAAACCCTAAACCCCAAACCTTAATTTGCTTCCATCTCGGCCTCCTGGGCTGATTCGCGGGCTTCGGTCAGCTTGTACTGCTTTTCACGCACTCCCGCAAGCCCAAGCAGGACACCGCCTCTCAAACGCACCAGACTTTTTTTGGTCAAATGACTGCATCTATGGGGAACCATAGATGCAGGATGAGAGGGCTTGACTTCGCAAATGAACACCAGGCAAGTGGATGCTGGGCAACATGTGAAACGAACTTAACTGGTTGTATGGCAATGCTGCGGCCTTTGTTCCTCTGAGTGGATATGTTGGCATCCAGGAACATCAAGGACTGCAGAAAGTACGTCTCAGCTTCGGCATGCATTCCCATCCTCAGCCGGTAACTCCCATGCAGTATCTGCTACGGCTATTGGATCGTAAGTCCCCCAAGTTGATACGACCGAGATCGGGGGATTCGGGGCTCTGCTGCTCTCTGTCGCACCCTTGAATGCCACCAGCTTGCGAGTTGTATGTGTGCCCAATGTTCTCGCAGAGTGCCTCGAGTTGTGTCATCGTGAGAGGCTTGCTTGGCTTCTCACACCTCATGTACGGGCGTCAATGATTGGAACATTGTTTGGGAGGCATGTTCTACTATAACGAAACAACTGTACTGTACTGTGCCAAGTGGCAGCACTCTTCCCCAGCAGGCCTTCCATCTGATTAAACCATGTCAAGGCCTCCTGGCAGAGGCTGCTTGGATTAATTCGGAGGCATGGCTAGAAAGTGAAAGTATGGCCATTCTTTTAGTGGGGTCGAAATTCTGTTGCTGCTGCTGCTGCTGCTGTTGTTATTGTTGCTACCAGTAGCTACGGTTGGTGATATAAATCTGCACTACCCATAAATAAGGAATATACCATGATTCCCATAGTTTAGGGTTCTTAATGTCATGCAGGATTTAAATCATCAACAGTATCAACCTTGGCAGGGCATGTCTCAGTAGTATACATCCTTGCATCTCATTTTCGCTTCAAGCCAAAGCCATCATGAGCAGTGCCTTGAGACGGCCCTGCTTCCAGCGCGTGAAGGCCAGTGCCTGAAATTCGGAGGGTCGTGCCCCTCTGCGGACACAGAAGTTTCTTCGAAAGCATTGGAACATGGCATCAAAAGAGCGTCATGCGTGAAGCTGGGGATGCTACCTGCAGAGATCTGCTGCCGGCCCAGGACTATAGGAGTTATTGAGCCTGCTCAATTTAGCCCTCGCGCCTGGATAGCTTGGACCGTCAGGTCATCTTGGCGCCACCAGCAAGCCGGCATCACCTCTTTCAGGGCTTCATCCGCCTTGTTCAGGCGGTACAACATGATCCAAAGGTCGAAGAGCTGGAAGAAGACTTCGAGAGTACGGCGATCATCGATCCCAAACCGCTCTCTGTGCTCGAAGAACTTTGCCTCCAACACCGCTTCCTCCAGGACCTGCTCCGATGCAAGCTCAGGGCCCTGGTCGATCTTGGCTGTCTTCGCGCTGCACGGGAAAAGCAGCAGAGACAGCAGTGCCACAGTGCACAGACCCATGGCGTCATAGCATCATGGCATCGTTCTGCCTTGCATCACGCTCAGCATCCGCAGGATTAGAGGCTGCTGGAAGTAACTTTCTCGACGACATGAACAAATGTAGCCTTAACTTTTTAACATCAGCACACAAACCTCCGTTGATGTGATGTGTAGCTTCTGCCTAATCAATTCCATACGATTCTCACTGAAGCTCAGGCTATCATAACCCCCCTATAACTCTTATCCGTCGTATTCGCTGCCTTAGAAGCATGAGCAACAATTATAGCTTATAGTTGGTCCCTCTGTCAGGCCCACCATCAGGCCTAGTACTAGGGTCGTTACTGTAGGGCTTTTCGGGTTGAATTAGACGTATTTTCAGGGTTTTTTTGGCACTCGCACTCGACAGCTGCAGGCGAGGTAACTGGCCAGCCAAAAATGTATTTTCAGGGTTACAATACGGGCAGGATCGGCGCGCACACACACACACACAATGAGCAGTGCTGACACTGTCCACCCGATGCTATGGTGCCGCGTTCATGCGAATGAAACACTGCACACCGGGCAATCAACGCATTTTGTTTCCTCGTTGGCATTTACTGCCTAGCGGGCTTACCGCACCTGAGGCGGCTGAAGCTTCGTTAGCCCTGACACGCGCAACAGGCCAGCCTACGAAGGCCTATGCAAGTCAGCTCACAGGAGGTCCTGTGCTCAGAACTGGCATTTCGCGCCAGCTGTTTTCATGCTATGAAGACTCGAATCTATACAAAATCGGTGGGCACCGTGCTATACAGTTCGATGACCCCCATGCTCTATGCGGCTTGTGATCTGACCATGTGAAGAAACTGCTGCAGAGATTATGCTAGTGCTAGCACAAGAAGCCCGGCGGCTGGTCATTGAAGCGCCACACCTTGTAACGTTGCTATGAAAATGCAAAGCGCCACCACAAACCTGGCTGCGCAGCTACGAGCCATCCCGGCCAGTCTCGGGTATGCGCCGTGCGTTTGAATCTGAAGCACGCGGCCAAAAGGAAAATGCTTGCCTTTCTTTACAGCCCATGCAGAGGTGACTAGGCCTGGCCCGTGGTGCGTGCCTGTGCTTCCTGAGGCATTTCCTTGCTCATGCGTCCAAACCTAAGGACGAGATCGAGCAAAATGCCGAAACCCATGTGCTCACTGACGTACTCATGCTCTGCATCGAGACAACTACTTGTCCAGGAGGTGTGGTGTGTGCGTGCAGGAGCAAGCTGACATTGCTATTAAGCAAATTGATTTGCCAAGCCATGGAACTCCAACAGGAAAGACGCGGGACATTGCTGCACTCTGGGGCACTTTCGTGCAGTATTTGCTCCGGCGCCACATTATGGACCCAATCACCAAGCTTGGCAAGCTTCTCTAAGCAGTTCTATGCTGATGAGATGAGTTTGGAACATCAGAACTCGACCCGATATGAAGATTCTTGCAGGTGTCAGCGATACTCTTCACTGGCCAGGCATTCGAACGGCCTACTGTATCCTGTAGGACTCTACAGGCCACCAGACACGCGCAAGGTCCCCACAGCAAAATGACGGTTTGTAATAACCAAGGAGGGCTCCTTGGGGCTTGCACTCGCTGTGCTCGGGCAGAGAGCACGGCTCCAGTTGCCTTTCAATAGCAGAGGTGTGCTGGTCGGGCACACTGATTCTGTGTATCTCACGTGTGTGGTCAGGCAGGGCCTATTCGTTGGCGTCTGTTCCAGGCCGGAGGCTTAACCCTCCAGCAGCAGGAGGCAGACGTCAAGCAGATCACAGGGCCTCTCGCAGCGTAGCTGCTCGGGCGACTGCCTGGCCTCGGCAGTAGCCGCTCGGGCTCTGCTTCATGCGCGCCATCGAGCCCTCGCTAAGTTTAGGGTATAGGGTATAGGGGTTTAGGGTTTAGGGCTTTTGTTGTGCTTCAAGCGGTTTAGGGTTTGGGGTTTCAGGGTTTAGGGTTTAGGGCTTTTTGTTGTGTTTCAAGCGGTTTAGGGTTTGGAGTTTCAGGGTTTAGGGCTTTTTGGTTGTGTTTCAAGTGGTTTAGGGTTTGGGGTTTCAGGGTTTAGGGTTTAGGGTTTTGGATTTGCGGCTTAGGGCTTGGGGTTCAGGGTTTAGGGTTTAGGGATGTGGATTTACGGTTTAGGGTTTGGGGTTCAGGGTTTAAGGTCTAGAGTCTAGGGTTTGGAGCTTAAACAACCATGATGCTACTACTGCAACTACTGTTCTTACTACTGCTACTTCTGCTGCTATTATGCTTATCAACATGATTACTTCCGCTGTGGTGAACAGGCTCATGGCATATGGTTGAGAGTCTGAGGTTTTTAAGGTCTTAGAGTCGGAAGTCGTTCTATTAGGGCTAACAGCTTAAGCTAAGGTTTAAGCTTGTTGTTGTTTCTATGCGAATTGTTGCTGATGGTCTGAATATTGCTGCTGTTGTTCGGCAATGCCTGTGCTAATTACTATTATCGCAACTATTGTGTTTTTTATGTAGGGTATTGTCACTAGCTCGTTTCCAGCTTGAGGATTTAAGGCTGTCAGCTTCAGGGCTGTATTGCATGCTGAAATCAGGGTTGAGGGATTAAGGTTTAGGGTTTAAGGTCCGAATCACCGTCTACTGGGGAAGATCGGCTTTGTGGTCACGTCTTGCAAGGCACAAAAACTTCAGCAATCCGAAAGCAATTCAACCGACCCCTTGGCTCAAATGTGAAGGCCTGAATAGTTGTTAGTCTTACTGCGAGTTCTTTCGTCCGCCGCAATGCAAAAGTCTTACTGCGAGTATTCGTATACCTGCACAACATAAGCTCTCACTTCGAAAACCACAACAAATGGGCTTTGGAGGTTGCTAGGGGGCTCGAATAAGTACGAATGCCATTCATTAGCCTTCGTAATAAAGTGAAATTATAATATCCCACCCAAACCCTTTTCAAATTGATTACTAAGGGCCCAAAGCAGGAGGCTCTATAGGACCTCAACTTCAGCATTGAACCAAGGTGAAACATAGCTCCGTGACACATGTTCTGCGAATAGAGCTTCACGAAAACGACTCCTGGCGCCAAGTACAGGTCCCCAACCAAAAACCAACAGTGAACAACAGCAAAGTGCGGCCTAAACTGTCCACCTTGCGAGAAGACACTCCAAAGCAAGTGGCCCCACGGATGCTGCAATGCGTCCTCATCCAGCGACCATAGCCTCCCACTTCCTGCCCACAGCCGAATCAGCATGACTACGAGTAGTAGAATAAATGCGCAGCGACGCAAATTGCACAGCACAGCATGCAAAGGCTTATGCAAGGCACACCCCTAATCGACAAGTGAATCGGAAGTGTTTGCCATGCGAACATACATGGTCATGCTGGCACCTCTGGAGGCGCTCTTGGAGACTGTCGAGTGCATTGTGGCACTTGGTAACGTCGTCCACGGACTCCTGAGTACCGTCGACGGATCGATGCGCTTGTTGTTCACCTATACAGTAGTGCCAAGTATTTCCACACCTGCTTGCATCGTCATGCCTCCACGCACTTCACAGGCTTAGCAGGAGCTTCAGTACAGTACTCAAATCTATGTGGAGACATGGCCGTCTTGGCTCCCTTGCCATTGGCTGCGCCAGCGGCTGCTGCTGCTTGGCCTGTCGTGCGAAGACCTCACAGAATTGGAAGTTGGAAGCCCATGCACTCCAGCAGACAGTACCGCTCGTCGTCGGACCTACTACGGAATCAGCAATTACACCGCTCCGACCAAGACATTCTGAGACTGCCACCGAAATATCTATACTTTCTTCGCGCAGCTCAGTGTCAGCAGACGCTCGTCCTGCAAGTGAGGCTGGCTGGCTGCTGCACGTTCAACTGTCTGAAAGGAACCTTGAACGAAGAACCTGTCCACATTTCGCGTCGCACTTTGTTTCAGAGCCTCCTTGCAACCTGCAGCCTTGCTAGAAATGCTAGGTCGGCCCGGAGAAAACTTCCTCCAGGAGGGACATCTGGTCTGGCAGGGTTTCGCTAAGAGTTGGCTGCACTAACCATGGATTAGCCGGACCGGTCTCGAGGCAGTCGGAGAGGCCATCTTCTGCTTCGGCTTCGGAAGGATGCGACCATCCTCAACTGTAGCTCCAGGCTGAAGCGTACACTCACATGCAGTCGCGAGAACAACTTTGGCCGGGCGTAGGGGCCGGATAAAAGCATGTATGATGCATTATGATGCAGTGCCGGGCAGCGGCGTGCGCGGGTCTTGAGATGGAAGACGTTTGGCTCAGTGGATCCTCGGGCCATGCCATGTGTCAGTAGTCACGAGTGTAGCGGCATTCCGTAGAATACAGGGAGGCAATACAGAGCTCGTACCATCTCGTACCACCATCGGTAAATCGGCTATGTGCAAGGCGACACATCGAGCTGACCACATGCCTTCAACGGTCATCTACGCCGAAGTATTGGAAACGCCAAGCATCTGCATCGGGCTTGGTGATCAATGACTTCACGCCGGCATGGGTTCGGCTCAAGGCATCCTCAGGTATTCGGACGAACGCAGTAAGGACCGCAAAGGGATGCAAAGGGCAACACAAGGATGGTTTCACATGCCCCAGAGTCATCACAGAGCCAACGAACATGCGGTGCAACAGTCGCACTAACAGTTTGGACCTGTTTCGACGAAACATGTCCAAACCATTAACGCGCTACTTCCAGCAAGATGAGTTCCCACAATTTCCCTAGTCGTGTCACGTGGCCACAGCGTTGCAGGCGTCTCGCTATCCCGCTCCCGGCCTGGAAAATTCCGGAGGGCTCCGTATCAGACCGGTCGCGCCTGGTGTCGAGCCCCAGATCGTTGGCCTGACTGCAAGATCGTTGATATGGCTTTAACCGGATCCACGCTTCGCGCACCTGGTTCGCTCGTCTGCTTCCGCGCAATTCAACTCTTTGGAGTCCTCTCAACAGCATCGCTGCTCTCTTGTTTCTCAGGCTTTACGGGGTCGCGCCGCCTCGCTCTGTCTCTCACTCTCTCGGTCTCGGATGTCGCATTCAGGAACGTGTCGTGCAACCATCCGACCAGAATAGCGTCAAGAGAACGTTTGCACGACTCATGTACCTACAAAGCCTAAATTATTTATGTATGTATATATGTACGTATGGTATGTATGGTATGTATGGTATGTAAGGATGTACGTGCGTATGTATGTATGTATGCATGTATGTATGTATGTATGTGTGGGTATGGGTATGGGTATGGGTGTATGTGCACGCACCGAATAGCACTGCACAGTGCGTTGTATACCGCAGCACGAGTGCATATCATATCATGTCATGTCGCATGGTAGGCCATGGTATGGTGCTGAGCTTTGTTCTGCTTTCTGTGGAAATTTTGCTAGTACGGCAGGCATATCGTCACTTGCTGACCTCAAACCTCACACCAGAACTGTAAATGCTCTGCAGTCGTGCCACAATGGCGGTCGGGCTCTTCAGCCAATCGCGGACTGCAGCAAAAGTCTCGCTTTCGGACCACCTGGCTAGTCAGGAAACGAAGCATACCAGTATTTGGGATGCTTGAGACGACTTCTGTCCGGGCAATGTAGGGTTGCATCAGCTTTTTTTGCACGAACTTTATGGAGGTATATACTGGATTACACTGGTGTTGTAGGATTTGCTTCCCTTCAACACCTCGGGAATAATTTGCTGGAAGCCACGGCGAAGACGGTGAAGCATCCTTGCCGCGTAGCCGTGCGCTTGAAGTTGAGTCCTGCAGGTCGACATGTTCACGTCTGCAGCTGTGTAAAGGTGTTGCAAGTACGAGTTCCTTAATGGGGGTCAAGTGAGTTCAAACATCGCAGTGAATCACTGTTCCCAGCCGTAACCTTAAGCCTTCCGAGAGTACACCAAAAAGCACCGTTCTGTTAGTGTTTGCCGGCATACGACCTAGCTGAAGCACGAATGTCAGGAGCGGTCCTTGCTTCCGGAACGACTGCAGATGCCGAACCTCAAGGGCGCCAGTTCGCAAACAGCAATCCGGTTGCTGATTGGGACTTTGCGGCGCAGAAAGCCGAGAGACCCAAATCCCAGCTGGTCTGCTTGACTCAGATGGAAGGCATCACCTCTCTCCTGGAAACGCCCGGCTTCCGCACGCAGAAATTGCACGATGCCACGAGGGGCTCACACTAAACCCTAAACCCAAAAGTAGGACCCGAAATCAGGTTCGTGTTGACACGGCACAGGCTCCTTCGTATCGGGGAGCCCGAAGTCCAAGGCCCTCTTGGCTTCAGCAGGGGTGCCAAGCTCAGACGCCTCCTGGAGACCCGAAAGACTGCAATAAGCCGACTTAAGCGGGTCCTCGGTTGGGTAAGGAGTCGCGGCGGTACACCGATTCGAGATAGGATTTCGCAAAGTTTTATGACGGAAGAAGCAGATGCGCACAGTTGATCTGGGTCCGCCTTGCTGGAGCTGCGACTTCCTCCCTCCTGCACGAATGCTTCTTGCACGGTGCTTTTGAGGCGGACACATGACGTTCATTTTGCACATGTTGGTCACTACCTGCACGCTAAGGTTCTGCAAGCGGAGGGAGGGAGGAGTGCTTTGGCCGCGGGATTTCATCATTTCGTGGCTGCTTCAGCGTTCAGCATGCTGTCAAAGCACTAAACACTATCAAGTCCTTGATCGAGGTGGGAGTGTTATCCGACCTGGAGTTCGGACAAGCTGCTCAGATCCACCCTGAATGTTAGTATTAGTATTAGTATTAGT